ATCATAAAAAAATCTATTTTAAGTAAATATAAATTAACTTGCGTGAGATATTATTATGTTAATATTAACATTTAAAAAAAAAGTGGGCATAGTAAACTGAAAGTCCATGGCCAGAGATAGACCTAGGTGGAAAAAGTTGCTGGACCAAGCCAAGGCCCACAAAGGGCTATAGAGCTAGAAGAAGAGACATTATTATAAAATTTGTTATAAACATGAACTTTAGGTTAACGTGTCGATAGATAAGTCTTTGACCTTAAGTCTTACTAAATACAAAAATGGCGACGAAGAAACCGTAACCTGTGTGATACAATTCAGTGAGACAAAAACATTACACCTGATGTTAAGAAAACAAAGTAGGTTAATAAACTAACGAATCACATTTAATTTTTTTACGGCAAAAAACAGCCAGACACAATATGACGTAAAGCAATATACAAAGTATTTTTCACGTCTTGCAATGCTATCTGTGCAAAGAGTATGTAATGAAACTTTTGAATGAGATTAAGCAATTTCATAAATTACCCGCGCAATGATTACGCGCGCAAACTGGCCGCTAAGAAAACAGTCCGCTCTTTGAATTTTTTTTCTTAATAAATGGACAAAGTGACATAATACTGATTATTAATAATATATTGATGATAAACCTGATTGCACATAGTATGAATTGCATTATATAAAAAGTAAACATCGTATGTTTAAAAAGGAATTACAAATAGATCCCGCAAAGCAAGCATGCGTGCCGGCATGGCGACAAGATCTTGTTAGGATGATTATTTTTTTTTAATTTTAATCGTAATGTCTTAATGTAGATAATTTTTTTATATTAAAACAAAGTAGGTATGTATGATAATTATGTTTAATTCTATATCTATAAAACATGGCATGCATTGCCGTAATGTACAGAAGTGTAATCAAATAGATTAGATTTTAGGTAATTAATTTAAATAAATAATGGAAATCCCCCAAACAATTAACGCAACTTTTCCTCTAAAAAGGTTGCGAAAAATTTTACTTTCTATTTCAATTACAATTAAATATGTTAACAATACTGTTTTAAACTTTATCTTGGATCCAAATTAAGATTTTAGCAATCAAATACCATTATCGATTTATTTGGTAAAAAGAAAGAGATATGGCGAGGTAGTTTTAAGCATAATAATTTTCTTTATGAGCAATATTTCATAAGAACTTGTACAAAGTAATAAAATACAATTATCCACACTAACACACGCAAAGCCTCATAAGAAGTCGGTCGTATAGAATAAAATCTTGCATATAATAAGTGGGTTCATCCTCTTCAGACCGAAACCAAGGGTAATTTAGCAACTATTTTCGCAAGCGGAATCGCCGTGGGCTTATTAATTCGTGTACGAACAGGGAGGAAATAATTAATGGTTCAAAGCATCATTATTTTTACAGGACGGCACGGCGCGGTGCGGGCCGGGGGGAGATGTCCCCGCGTGCGCCGGCGCAGGCTCCGCCCCTGACTTAATTGCACCAATCTGCGGGACGAGCACGCACACACGCATTTCCACGCACCGATGTACGCATTTCCACGCATACCACCACACGTAATGGCACACTGCATTAGGCAAATGCAGCGCCTTTTGTATTTCTTAATCGCAATTCATTGTTAAAAGACACGTAAATAGAATAGGCTAAGCTATAATTCCAACCATATAATTAAAGGCTGCGTCTAGCTTAACGAGAGTTTCAAAAGAGCAAAAAGCTTGATGAGTAAACGAAGAGAGTGCTAACGAATTATAGAGAACAGAGTATAAAATGCGAAGAAAAAGAAGGTAAAATAGGTTGGTAATGCGACTGGTTGGTATTTACCAACATGAGCCCTGAACAAAAACGAATGTTTAGTCAATTTTAATTGGTATAGTGATGATTGCTCTCGATAATACCATATTAATTTACTTTGCTCTATGGACGTGGTAATTGAAGAAGACTCGTTAATGGAATCAACGAGGACTAAACCACAGACAAGGATTTTAATTCTCTTGCATCTATACCTACGTGTTTACGTGTTAACTACGTTATTTTGATATTTTTTCATATTAAGACATTTAAATAAAAATATTAAATTCATATTATTACATTTTAATTGGTAATTGAAAGTAATGTCATGTTTTTCCGTTATTCGATAAAATGTGCGCTTAATTAGGTGATTCGATGATTTTAATATGTATTCTTTACTTTACTTAAGTGCGAGCGAGATAGCTGCTTAAAACGAGTGAAATCAATGTCCGATATAAACCGCATAATTGCATAAATGCCTTTATTTTATTATACATTTAGCAGCATGGCTTCCTTTAATCCTTACTTCCTAACAAATTAAAATGCTACCAGAAGATGTAGAGAGTACTACAAGCGAAGCCGCGGGTACAGCTAGTGCTAAATATTTGGCATATTCATAGTTAATAGCATAGGCACTGATAAATAAAACCTAAGCTACTTAAAATTGTTTTATCATTAAGTTACATTTGAGGTCATAATGAAATATATACAAGATAATTTTATAAGATTTAAGACTAATTTAACTACGTCAAAATCATACTTCTGGCAACACTAATACTCTATTTTAAGTAAAAAAAAAACTTTTAATAGCCTGCCTGTCACTGTCACACAACGAAAAATTGCATTTTAATATATTTTTTAAATATTAAACATAAAAAGGTGAAATAATAACCATCTCAGTTATTTTCATATATCGATTTTGATCGTATCATATTTTATTAATATCGTTGCTTTTGATTCTTATACCATTGAATCCTCATTACGTTAAAGCTAAATAAATAATTAACTGCCACTAAAAAAGAATAAATAAGACGGGAAATTCAACACATACAGGGTCGGATTAATATTTTTTAACATATCCATAAAGAATACTTTTAGATTTTTATACATTCTTGGTAAAAAAAAAGTAAGCCGTAAAAGTGATCTCAAATGGAGTGAAATAAATAATTTCATCCATATCATCAATCGCGTCACCAAACCATAAATTATAGAGTCGGTGTCAAATCGGTTGCCCTCGCCCTGTATCGTGTTACACTCACCTATTACGACAACGTACTGCGTACTATAAAAAAACGCTCGGATCCATGGAATGTAGAAGTCTACGTTTTGTTTTACATTGCTCAAGAGATTTGGAACTTGATTCAAATCATTGAACTTAATCGTGACGGAATTACTTAAATGGTATTATTATGTTAAATCCTTCCACATACGTATCATACAAATGCTATCAAAGATCAAAGTATTTTACTAAATGTTCTTCAAAGGAGACATATAAGTCTTATTGGCGTATAAGTTTGTTTTGATACAGAAGCAAGAAAAAACTATAAATAATAAAACTTATACCAAATATCTTGCTTTTTGCAAATATTTGTGATATTACAAATAACAAACCTTCATATTATTAATAAAAATAATCTGGTAGATATGCCTTTAGTGAAGAGACCGCCAACACATTCAAAGGCCATAAAAAGTTGCAGACTGAACGTCCTCTGTCATCGCACTGGTTTATAGCAGCCTTGATGTTGCCCAAACTTATTTAACGATCTCCGATTCGCCAATCATACAAACGTATACAACATTGTATTGAGAATCGAGAAAATTATTACTGTATATTAACGTATCTGTGATGAACGCTGACAATTCAAATAAAAAAAAAACAAGCAGAAAATCAATGTTTCACATAATTTTATCGTACGTAATCACGACGGCCGCTGCCGTGCCGTGTGCCGTGTGACGACAAATGAATTTACCAGATTTAGATATAATCAAAACGAGAAGAAGCCGCCGCGTGACCCTCGACGTAACACGATAACGAAGCGAGTTTACAAACAGGCCAAAAATCGGTTTAAAGCGGGGACACACATAAAATACACCACGTAACTGCTGCGAACGCGACGAAATCGATTCCCAGTTCCGATTCCGAGAAGTGACACAGTTTCTCGAGTGTCACATCACTACCGACGCACCGAGCAATAAATTAGTCGCGGCGCGCGCATGCCAATCTAGTCTTTAAGGACGCACCTATAGACGATGTTTCGTACGGCTCGGAACGAGTAGTTAAATTTTAAAGAAGAGCCACCTGTCTCCACGAAAAACTTTATAGCGGCCATTAAATTTAAACCTCAAATGAAAAAACAAAAACCATCAGATTATATGTTTTTTTCTTTTACGGTCGAGGCCCATTTTAGATGGTGTTTACCTAAGCTGTCACCTTACAGAATGGCAATTTTGACCGGCCGGCTCTGTTGAATTAATCGTGGAGTGCGGGAGAGATATCGTCCGATGCGCGATAAGGGCGGTCGCGCGCTGCCGCAATTTGCTTTAAATACTGACAGGGCCGCTCGCGGAATTGCTGGCCCGCTTCACATATTTAATTGTTACTGCCGCTACTTCTGCTTACTCCTTAAATATACAAACATCGCCGTGATATATGGATCTTACAAATTCTGTTTTATTTTTGGGCTCTTACCGCTAATTAGGGATTTTATTAATTTGAACGAATCCAATGCACATAACATTAATATAATTACACACACCTCTGTATTGTATACAATATATGCATTTTATGCTTTTAGTTAGCAACTTATATATACTTATATTGGGTTACCGTTTGTTATCTCAAACGTGGCGAAAAAGACCTGTCACAATCATATAAACCAAATAGGGTGTTCAGAAGTGGAACAACTTACGTTGTCTAAATCCAGTTTTTTGGAAGCTTCCGACCAAAGTAACAAGTTGTAAACATTATTGTAATTTTAGTGGTCAAGCCAACCATACTTTAGCGTACACAACTTCTGAACAAAAAGCGGTCGGCGAGCCAGATTTAAGCATACATCGCCCAAACTTTGATGGCTGCACCTTTCATTTTTAACGCTACTTTTCTCTTTTAACATATTTAATGTTATTTAGAAAGAAACTCATCAATTAATCGTGAAAAAATAGATTTTATATGTATCTAGGAGGTAGGTAAATCTTACCGTGCGATCCGACAGCGGCGGAGTATGGGGCGTGCATTTGCTGGTGGTAGTACCGCGCGCGGCTGTGGTGTCCACCCTCTAGCGGCGAGTGGAAGAAGCCGTCGGCATTGGCATCGCCCACGTCGCCGGCGGCCGGGCTGCCGTTGACGCGGCCATCGTACCAGCGCTGCTGCAGAGCGCCCGCGCCCGCGCCGGCCCCCGCGCCGCCCTCGCCACTCATGTCCATGACCGCCAAGGCCTCACAAACCATGCATCGCTTTTATAAACACGCACTATGAGTCCACACCGATATCCGCATCGCAACAGTCAACAACTAGATCTCGTCCTCATCCACTCTTAGCATTGTATTCCAAACTCCGTTGTAGCTATCTTCGATTCTCGATCCTAGAACACACAAACAAATTCTTTATTTAATTAGGGTATAAAACAAATTCAGTTCACGGCCAACATTATAATTCCATAGTAGCAATTGCTATCTTTGTAAAAGAGACTTGGAGCGACTTAATCCCCAAGTTTTCTTTACGATTTTTAAAGAAAAACATTTGAGGTAGATCAAATAAAACATAACGTCAGTACCTAAGTCGGTATTTTGTCAAAACGTAACAATCAATTAAGATTAAGGTGGTGCGGGTGCGCTATCGACAGATGCCGAAGATATCGATACGCTCCCAATTTGATTAGGCGATATACCACAAACAACACTTGATACTGCCGCGATAACGGCCAACCGCACATTAAGCCATGTTAGCCAAGCGAGCCGTGATTTTTATTGCCACTAAACTTGACAAAAGTTATCTATACGCCATATCTAGGTATCAAATGTACCCGCAAAGTTACTCGCTTTATCTATCTACAAAGGCTACCGATTCTTTTGTCAATTAAAAACAACCGCATTCATATTAGATAAATATATATTTACAAAACTAAAGCATTTCTTTATCAACTGTTTTTAAAGCATTATATTCCTATTATGCGTAATTAAAGTTGTTACTACAAATTTAAATTAAGAATTACTGGAGAATAACTCGTATAATTATTTGCATATACGCATCTTGAATAAAGAATTAACTATGTAAAGACCACAGACGACGCACTTTAAACTCAAATCAAAGAAATACTAAAGTGTGTTTTTCCATAATTTAATCGGTGTTAGTTAGTATTCTTTTTGTTTAGTATTATATAACAAAATTACATTATAATGTTAAACATTAATAATAAAAATTTTAAATTCAGGCTAAGTCAAGAAATCTAAAAAGATTTATCTTAGACAAAAATGTTAATCATTATATAATCATATAAATGCGAATGTTTCATCTAAACCATCCATCCATCCATCTGATGAAGGGACGGATGGATGTTTGAAGGTATCTCTGGAACTGCTCAACGGATTATGATGAAATTTGGAATAGATGTATAGTCTGGAAGAACACATAGGCTACTATTTTTTTTTAATTCCGCGCGGACGAAGTCGCGTGCAACAGCTAGTATTTAATAAAATGAAAATAAAATATGTTGTACGATTAGATATCTATTTTCTCATAATTGTGCATTTATTTTGTATTATTAAATAAAATGTTTAATATTTTATCTGTGCTTAATTCAAATCCAGTCGTATGCATTTAGGATTTCTTAATTCCGTCATAAACAATGAACGTTATATGCCACTAGCAACATTCTGAATTGTCGAAATCATATTCAATTGACATTTCATATTATCCTGTCTATTATTTGTTTATAACTCTTTAATAATCGTAATAATCACCGATTTATTATAAAATGAATACAATATTTGCTTTTGAATACAAGCATACTAATCTATACATTTGTTCTCTATATTTTAGTAAGCGTTTGACTATTCTACGTTTATTTGAAAAGCTAAATATAAGCAAAACCTATTGAAAATAATAATTAAATACATATTACTACAACGTAAGAACAAACACATTAATGACAATGTCAACAAGATAAGCAAGCTGTCGACATTCTCGTAAGTTTTTCTTGAAAAACATATAAAAAAATCTTTAGAGTCAACGCATACTTTATCAAATTCCTTACCGTAGATCTCTACTGTAGTAACAGTTTTAATATCACATATTGTTGTCTCTCTTTCATCAGAGGGAATATAAGGGATGAAACGATGCATAGATACAAGTGTTAGTTCAATGGAAGTCTACTGTTACAAATTTCTACAACACAACAATGTTCACTTTTTCTCCCGCAATGATTACGCTTTTTATAATTGTTTGTCAAACATGTGAATAACAGATCTATCAGCAATTTCAATAATGAAAATAGTTGATAATACAAAGAATTTAAAATAGACACTATCACGTCAACTTATTACTTTCGTGAAAAATGCAGGACCATTTTGTTTAGACATACATGCAAAACAAAGGAACAAAACTTTTAGATGAATTTATTTTGTAGGTAAAATTTATCAGCCCGTCATCTTTGCCTACCACTACCCCTTTAGATTACAAGCGTAACTCACAATTGGTATCTGTCATCTGTCTTTCATCCCTCTTACTCTCTTCAAAAAAATAGAGACAACAATATGTATAACATGGCGTTGGAATTTGACAGATAGTGTTGTGCTTTAAAATGTGTTTTTTTTTATTAAATGACTATACGCTTAATGAACATTTTTATAAGAGACAAGTATTTTATTGATCATCGCCTAGATGGTGTTAATTTTTTATCTATAATTCCAATATATTAAGAAGAAACATACCCATATTCTTTAACATTCAAGAACTACTTGGTCTTTATTATCTTTGCTGTTAATAAGAATGTTGCCAGTAATATTATTTTATTGAAATACAATACCGAATAAGGATCTATATTTTTTTAAATAACATCTTATAGGAATCACTTGAATTCATTCATTAACATCTGCAACGTACATATTCTTGGTTCTTCTAAATTTGTTTGATGAGAGTAAAAGCTATTTAGATTACCAAAATATTTAGACAAATATTTATAAACATACAAGCGTTCGACCGCGACTTTGTCTTTCGAAATTATCACAATTAAAATATTCCCGCGTGCATCAACTACCTTCCCGTCAAAATTGGACTCAACGTCCCGGAGATTACCCGGGACAAACGCGGCCTTGCGAACTGATGGACTAAATTTAAAAAAAATGGTTTTCGTTATCTGCTACAAAAACACCATATTTACAAAATATATTTTATCATATTACATACAGACATTGCAATTTTATCTATAATATGTGTATAGGTTTTTATTTTTATAGATAACATAATATTAAAGACTTTCTTTGGAACCTTCACAGAGAAGGTTTGTTTTAAAATTCGGTTTATGTCACGTATTTTTTTTCGGCCATAGAGTATTGTTGCCACGTTAACGAATGTTAAACACATCTTATATTAACATTGGCGATTAAAAATAGCCGTATTAGCAACTACATTTGTTGCTATTAATTTGTGCGGCGATAAGATACGTCAGGGATACGTGCTGATAGCATCGCCGTTATCGCCCACTGTCTCAAATTATTATTGCCTATTGACTTTAATTGAATGCTAATAGCCAATAAATGTAATCATTTAAATACCTTATTGCTACTAATTATTATGTACACTTCAATTAAAAAGTATAAAGAAAGTAACTAATTCTATTATATTAATAAGACAAGCTAACCTGTCGGTAACAGACTGATATTAAAAATAAAAAAACTACCCCCCTTTTCTTATAAAATAACGTTGTCAATACAAGTGTAAAGAATAATAAAATATACATTTGAGTATTCCAATATTCTTTCTATTAAAAACAGAAACAATTATTTTTCTTTTTACATTTTTGTGAAATTAAATGAAAATGGCTTGAAATAGCATCTTACCGATTTAAGTATTGATAAGACGAGATAAGTAAGACGTTATTGTATGCACGTAAATGTTATATCACAAAGATCAAACACGTATTAAACAATTTCTATAACTAAAATTGTGATTTAACTAAAAAATTGCAAATTATAAAATCGTGAAAATTCAAATAACTTTGCATTTTAATTTTTCTTTTGTTTAAAAATAAATAATTTGTTTTTATTTATACCTTCCATGTAAGCGGACGGTTGGACTTAAAAATAAGGAGTAAACATTAAGATTTATAAAACCTTGTGCGCGTTTTATAAAACACTGGGATAAAGCCAGGAGTAATAAAAATTATACAGTATACATAACAATAATGACTTAAGCATATATTAACAAATCATTGTAATAAAAGAAAAAATACGTATTATGATAACACATGATTACACAATATTGAAAATTAAAGCGCTTAATCCTCTAGCGATATTGAGAACACTTGAAAATTGAATCTCACCAGTTAACGATAAGATGTGATCTGTTGACTCGACGATAATCTAAAATAGTACCAAAGCTAGGACAATAAAAGATCTATCACAACCGGTAACGCCGCTATCTGGCAATCGACTGAAAAAAGGATTTGCTGATAAAATAAAAAGAAATCGCATATTTATCGCAAATTGTCTTCATTTCGTACGATTTCCTGGTAATATCAACGATAAGCAATGAGATAAGTCGCCGCGAGGAGTTCGAGAGCCTATTAATAAATTATTTGAACGTCTTTTATCAATTATAAAATAATTTCAAGGTTCAAATATTGTCATAATAACTTACAAAAATGTTATTATATAAGCTAGCAACTTGATTAAAATAGAAAGATTTGATAAATACAAAGTAACAAAATATTTTTAATGATATGAACTCGTATTGGCCTAGAACATCCTATTCATTCTGCAATTTAAACATAATTCTTAATTGTGTTTTCAATTACTAATTTAACATAATACAAACTTGAGTTTAAAATCGTATAAATATCCTAAAACTAGTTTCAAAATTCAAGTCAAATTTAAATCATTTATTTACAACAACAAAATGATCAAGACTTCATTATAATTTTTTAATTTAATTCTAATAGTAATTTATAAAGAAATATTATGTTCTCTCTAACAACGTCTAGAGATCGCACGTTTATTTGAGACCCACAACTTTATTTACTCAGATCAAGTACATTTAACAGGTTCTATTGAACCATGTACTTGATACCGTGATCGATTGCAACACGTACTTGTATAGTGTGACATCGTGAACATACTTCTTCTTACTTACTGGTTACTTCTCATACTAAGGTTATAGTCTAAGAGTCACGCGTAAAATACAGTACTCACTTTTAGACATTATTATTTAGAATCCTTTGGCGCGAATGACGTGCTTTCGTTACAAAGTCCAGTATCAGAATGAATCGTGATTTTTTTGTGACTGAATTGCCACTGTTTGCCTTGAGGAGGCATTTACAGCTTCACCGGGCTTCAGGTGGCCGAGCGCAGATGGCACTTAGCCTAA